TTCTCTCTCCGCTGTTTCTGTACCTTGTCGTTTCCCTTCTGCTTCTTTCCTGATGTTTTTCCTTCTGTATCTTTCTTCTTGGTTTTCTTTTCTCCTCCTTATTATTTTTCTCTTATTCCTTTTATACCTCCTCATACAAAGATTTCTATGCAGGAAAAGATTATTATCTCACAACCATAAGTTACATGTCTTCCAAGGACAAATTAAAATCTCTATATAAGAAGAAATCTTTTATGATTTTAAAAATCCTGGCGTGCCCCCTGCGGGCTGGCAGAGCAGCCGCTAGCCTGGCAGAGACGGTTGTGGTTCCCTGCAAGATCCCCGGGCGGTTTACGAGCAGTAAACCATCCGGGGGCCGTGTAGCGAGCTGGCAGAGACATCTCTGCTGGGTCCGGGAGAGCCAAGTGGGCAGGTGTGAACAGGCGGCGGATAAAAGGCACATAGACAAAGTAAATAGGCATAAAACTGAACATTTATTACTTAGAGGAGAGAGAGAGAGAGAGAGAGAGAGAGAGAGAGAGAGAGAGAGAGAGAGATGCATGCCAAGAGGGGACAACAAGAGAGATTCAAGATGGGGGGGGCAGGGGTCAGAGGTCACTGGGAGTGGCCATGGCTTGTCCCTTAAAGGGACCAGAGACCAAAAGAATAACAAAATCTGTACCAGGCTCTTTCTTTTAGGCCACCAACCAACTCCCCAGTCATGACACAGAGACATTATGAACTAGGAAGAGTTGGCCTAGCTGAAGCTCAGTTGTGACTAGCTCTTTTAACTTAGATTAACCCGTTTGGGGCTTTTTACCTGTCTGTGTGTCTTACTTTCCTGCTTCATCCAGTGTCTTGTTGGCTGGCAGCTGCCTGGTTTCTGGCTCCGGGAATGTCCTTCTCTTTCTCCCTCATTCTCTTCCTCTTCTCTTCTTTTTCTCTTGGGCCTAGATTTCTCCTTCTATTTATTCTTTCCGCATGCCTGCCCCACCTATTCCTCTGTGTCTAGCTATTGGTCATTTAGCTTTTTATTAGATCAATCGGTTGCCTTAGGCAGGCAAGGTAAAACAGCAACACATCTTTTCATAATAAAATAAATACAGCACAAACAAATGCAACACACCTTTACACAGTTAAAGTCATATTCTGTAGCATAGACACAGCTTTGCCTAGTCCAAGTCATATTCTACAACAGAAATCCCATTGAGATCACAAGGTACATGCTTTCCTTAGAAGTCCACAAGTAGTTAAATATTTTCCTTTGTAATAATTTTCTAACCAAAACATCTTCACCCCAAGGCAATGATTCTTTTATTACTGTTTAACAGGATCTGAAATAGGCTAAGTATATTTCAGTCAGTTCCTTCTGTGTTGGCAGACAGCTGTTTTCTACTCCAGCCAACTGTCTATTGTTCTTTACAGACAATGGGGTCATTTAACTCCTTTCACAACTTTGTTTTTTCAAAGTGTGTTCTGGGCCTATGATTAATTCTGTAAATACATTTAATACATGCCCAAAGAACACAGGCCTGGGGGAGGGGAGAGGTAGGGAGGGGAGCAGAGAAAAATGCAGAGCTCAATAAAAAAAACAATTAAAAAATTTTTTTAAAAATTAAAAAAAAATACCCCCCCCCAAAAAACTCAGGCCTAACCTTGGATGTAAGGACATAATGGTTTTCTTTGATCATCTTGTTGTTCTACAGGCAGAATTCATGGGTCTATAATGTGTGAAACTTCCTTCATTTTATTTTCGTCTTCTGTAAATCTCATATCTAATGAAAGGGAAGGTAACATCCAGTCTATTTTTGCCTTTTTTGTATCTCTTTATTGGGGCATTTGACAGAATAACCTAAACCATTTCCCTAATCATCTTGACTAGTTCTCTTAACCACCTGGATCTTTTAGACTAACTCAGAAAGTCCAACTAAATAATTGGTTCAACTCTGAGGACCTGACTTTGCAAACTCTGTTTTAAAGAAGGGGCTTCATCTTAAGCCATATAATGGGGGGGGGGTGGTCAGCTCTCAGCGCCAGAAATGTGCTGCACTAGCGGAATTCGAAGGGATATCCTGAAAATAGCCAATTATGGAGCTAGGGAACAGGGCCACAAAATTTAATGGGGTTCAGATGTTCCTAGGAGGCCTCCTGTCCTTGAAGATACCGTGTCAGTTATTAATGGCTCTTTGTTAGTATTCTGTGCCCAAACACTGACCAACGGTTTCAGAAACTACCTCACCCTATGCACTCCTTATTCGGTCCCAAGACGACAGTACATGAACTCTCCCGATTACGGCATTTTCCCCTTAAAAGTTCTCCCCTTTCCTGCGCTGACACAGCCTCTCCCTCACCCTCTGCACTGGTGTGCTGGGGGTGTAGTCCAAACTCCAGGGTGTATATAAAAGATCCTCATGTCATTAGGATCAGAATCTGGGCTCTGTGAATTCATTTGGGGGCAAGTAACCTGGGCATAACACAACTAAATATCATTGCTCTTATAAAAATCATTATCATTATGAGCTGCAAATACATCGCCCAGAGAGGGAGTGGGATTTTCCCAAGAAACAATCACCCTACCCTAGATACAGTGGGATGTCTTCATAGAGTAATACAGCAGGAACAGAGTAGATGCAAACAGAAGAAAGCACAGCAGAAGCAAGATGCATTCTGGAGACAATCCCCCCCCCCCGCCCACTTCCTGGGTGTTAAGAAAAAAAAATAAGAAGAAGGGGCAGCTCCACCAGCGCAAGAAATCTAATTAGGTCAAATCAAACCAAATCAAAATGCCCATTGTTTTTTTAAGCATGATGCTCTCTGGTGGCCGAGTGCATGGCGGGGAGACAGGACAGCAGGGAGGTCACGCAGACCTGAAAACCACGTGTTTCTCCTCGGTGAGCCCACTTAAATACCCTGTGGGAGTGGTCCTGACTCTCTCCAGGGAGGGGTGAGGACCTGGTATGCTGGGATTTGGAGTCCAGACCAATACAACTCCAAGGCCTGGGGACTGGGATGGATGCCAAGGGCTGGGAGCTATGCTCCCAACTTAACTCTGGGCTTTGTCTCTTCAGGGTTTAGCTCTGGTATTCGATGAGTTGAACTCTATAAGCCCTATTGCTTGCTGACTGTAGCTCCTCTGACACGACCACCATCAGTCATTATATTGACAGGGCTCTGTGTCACACCCAGAGTTGCCCCAAGTACACAAACCTGGATAACAGATTCCAGTGCTCTTTGCGCCTCCCCTGTAAGAAGACAGCTCCATTTTGTACAGCTTCTCTACCCTGATTTTGGCAGGCCCAGGCATTTGCACATCTTCTCTGCAGCAGAAGTGGGAAATGTGCCAGACAAGAATGTGTCTGAGTTAAGAGCCGCATTTCCCATGAGAAATTGGCAGAGATGCACAGTCAATCCTTCTCCTGGCTCACACCTTGGCATCTTCCTCACTGCAGGGATGACCCTGTGCAAGTCTTTGCACATCTCGAAGCTTTATTTCCTCTTTTTATATAATAAATGTTAGTAGTAGAACCTAAGAGTTGAAGAACTCATCTGTGAAGACTGAGTACAAATGGTAATCACTTGGTAAACATCAGCCACATTTACGTCCATCCACTCTCAGCTAGACCAGAAACGTCCATAGCCAGCCTCGAATTTCTGCTCTCCGTATTCTTTTTCAGATAGCATAGCCTCACATCATATACCTGGAGTACCCAGGACTTGGACTGAGAGCTTCTTACAGTTGTCGTGTGTGTGTGTGTGTGTGTGTGTGTGTGTGTGTGTGTGAGACTGTCTGTTTTGTTTTAATTTTTTTTTCATTTTTAAGTTTGTGTCTCTGCGTGAAAGAGAGTGCAGAAGCCAGAAGTGGGTATTAGATCCTCTGGGACTGGGGTTACAGATGGTTGTGAGCCACCATGTGGGTGCTGGGACTCAAACCCTGATTCTCTTCAAGCACAGTTATTGTTCTTAACCACTGAGCCATTTCTTTTCAATGAGTTCTCTTGCCTACATTCCAAACAAGTCCACATAACACCCTCTTGTCCAGCCACACTGTCACCACGGGGCTATCTGACTCCCAAACTCACTCAAAAGCCACCTTTTCTATGGCATTTCTTTGGGAAAACATTTCTTTGGGAAAAGTACCCAAAAATCTTATTCTCCCTCTAACCACGCCCTTCCTTATTCCTTCCTTCTCTTTATTATTTCTGTCAAGAATAGTGTTTATCATGCTGTACTTACTTTTTGTTTGTTCTTCATTGAAATTTACGTGTGTAAGGGTTTTTTTTTTTTAAACTCCAACTCTGAGAATCGTACCCAGCACATGGTACAGCTCAGTAAGTATTTGCTGACGAATGAATGATGCTATCTAGCTAAGGTCAACTGAGACCCTCAGACAGCCTCTTCATCTAAATATTTAGAGACTTTCTCCATAAGTTCAGCCATATATTGGAAGAGCTGGGCATCCCTAGGGGTGAGTGTATGCTTATCGTTTATTGACTGTTGCTGCGCTGAGCCTGTGCACAGTGCACACACAGGAGGAAATGTGCCAGGGATGACACAGCTAAGACGAGGCAAGGCTTCTCACACGGTCTCCAGAATGTACTGTACCGGCTTCATACTGATGCTGGGAGGCTGTGGGAGGCGCTGTGGAGGGCCCACCATTCTGGCTACCGTATGGATCCTGTTGATAGGAAGATGCCACGAAAACAAAGTTGGGTGTTCCTTGTTATTCATTTGTTTTGTTTTGTTTACTTTTGGGACATTCCTTTTTCTTATTGGAGGCCAGAAAATTTAGAGTTAAAGATCTACCTGCCACACCCTAACTTATCTGTATGTGTACCAGGCTGTGTGGTATGGATTTAACGTCTGCTTTCTCTTGATGAGCTGTGTCTTAGAACCCATGTGCTCTTACAGTATTTTATTATAATGGCTTCTTTGACCCCCCCCTTCAGATATAAGGCAAGGTGTGGGTGTGTAAGCAGCCTGTTTTCCCACCTTGTGTGGCTAATCTTCTAATCCTCCTTTAGGAAGTAGAAGCTCAATTGGAAGAAGTAAAGACAAAATCAGAAAGGGAGATAAAGCAACTGGAAGACGAGAAAGCTGCCCTCAGTGTGAAGCTTCAGAATTCTCTACTCGAGGTAAACCCTAAAAGCACAGCGCTTGTGAATGGAAGTTGTGACCCCTGGGAATTTCTGGCCAAATGGGATCGGAAGTTCACCACCTCCCTATGTCCTCTGAGCAAAATAAAGGGAGTCCAGCCAGGCAGGAAGGCTGTCTCAGGGTGGTGGATGGTGAGGTATAAATTTAGCTGCAGATAACAGAGGGCCTGATTTATACAGTCTTAAACAAAAAAGGCCTTTAAAGCCTCACATAAAAGAAGGAAGCTGGAGGCCACTGCTGTTGGTTCTGTAGCTGAGTGATAGCCGGGGTGGTAAATCTGCCATCCTTCTGCTCCAAGATGCATTGTCACCTCTGTGGGCCCCAGGCACCGTGGCCTCCCTAGGCCCCTTCTGCTATAACAAGTATATTAAGATTTTATGACTGCATTGATAGATGAATATAATCCAAACCGAGGCTGTTTCTTTTAATTTTAAAAGAAATTAAAGCACAGGTTCTTAAAAGTATTGAGAATTCGTGGAAGAGCTGGCAACAGGATCTCAGAGTCGTTTTGGAGCCTGGTTGGAACAAAAAATATTAAGAGGTCTCTCTTTCCTCACTGCCCATCAAAGCTTAAAGATGCCCATGTCTCCTAGTGCTCTCAGGGACCCATGAAGCTGGCTCCTCGACCCCACCTGTGCACCACAGCCTCTAGGGAGCAAACCTATGGCTTTAGGAGGCAAGAGCTAAACTACTGAGCGACACACCTAACAACACTGAAGTCCTTTCAAGAACACGGAGACTATGTGCAAAATAGTGTCGATTGCTAGAAATACACATCCATGGAGGGAGATCTCAAGAATGCATGAGGGGGACAGAGTAGAATTTGACCACTGGTTGTTTCTGTGTTTGTGGTGTATTATTTCTTCTGACCCACGAATACACAACTGTCAATCATAATTTTCTCTAGTTTTTTTTTTCTATCTCTAAAATGGTCATTCGAGAAAACAAAAACAAAATAACTGACTACTGACCCGGCCCCTGCCTGAGACCTATTATTTCAGGATCACAAGTTGCCTTTGAAAGAATCTCTGCAGAGATAGTTTCTGCCGTGATGCTTTCTGAGGCGCTGCACAGCAAGGAGGCCTCTCTCTTCTCCCTTCCTCCCCTCCTCTCCCTTCTGTTCCTCTGTTTCTCCCTCCCTCTTTCAGTGCCTCCCATCTTGTTGCTGCTCCTGTGGTGACTCTGCTCTGCAGAGCTTAAAAGTGTGTGAGACCGACTAACACCATAGAAACGGCTTACCTAAAGGAACTGTCTCCTTAATCAAGATGCTCAGCCGTTTTGCATGTATTAACTTTCCAGCCCCAACCATCTTATCACACAGATGCTATTATTATCATCTCTAATTTGGAATTGAGAAAACAGAGACAGAAACGGTAGCTCTACTTCCCCCCACCCCCCACAGGCATAATGAATAAGTAGCAGACATGAGAGTCACACTCTGGCGGTGTCCTCCCCACTGTTCATCAGTATGTCAGGGCCACCCGTGGTGTCCCCTCTACTGACTGAGGATCCTTCAGGACCTGTCACTAGCCATGGCCATGGGCAGAGCTGCATTCTGTTCTTTGGCTTAGTAATTAAATTACTATTGTGAGCAAAGCCTTTTCACAGGGACTTCTGGTCATCAGGATATCAGGATGTTGTCACCAAGCTGCTCCGCTGAGATAAGGGTCATATGGGTTTTGAGATACGCAGACTATTCAGCGTCCATTTCCCTGAAGAGGCACATTCCTACACAGGTTGTCCATCTTGGTGTCTTAGGGGACTCCATCTTGAGTCAGCCTAACATCTCCCAGACCTCCCATTCTCAACCCGCGGCCCTTTCTAACCCTGCTATCACAGGTACCAGGTCATCCACCCAGGCCAAGCCACTGTGGATCCTACGGCTCAACCCTGTCTATCTCTCCTTCCTGCTTTCTACACTATGTCTTGTGCAAGCCTCTCAGAATTGTTCTCCTCAGTAGGTTACTTAGGGGTGTTACATGAACAGTTACAGGCTAGGCCTTGTGAGCCATGTCTGTAATACCAGCTACTCAGAGGCTACCACATGAGGATTGCTTGAGCCCTGGAATTTAAGAATAACCTGGGCAATAGAGTTATACCCTGGCTCTTAAAAATAAAACATGACAAGACAAAACAACAACAATAAAAAGCAAAACAGTTGTATATTTCATAATGTCTTAAAAACAATGCAGTGGGAGTGTTGTGAGGACTGAAAATTTTAATATGACAAGAATACTGTCTTAGTTACTTCTCCATTGCTGTGATCCGACACCTTGAGCAATGGAACTTATAAAAGGAAGTGTTTCTCCAGGGCATATAATCTCAGAGGGTTAGAGTCCATGATGACCAATGGTGGGAATCCTGGCAGCAAGAAGGCCATCATGGCACAAGAGCCGTGCTGAGAGCTAACGTCTTAATCCACAGGCACTAGGCATGGAGAACTAACTGGGAAAGGTGTGGGTTAGTGAAACCTCTAAGCCCACCCCCCAGTGGCACATCTCCTCCAACAAGGCCAGACCTCCACATCCTCCCCAAACAATTCTATCAACTGGAAAGCAGTACTCAAATAAATGAATCATTCTTATGCAAACCATAAACACTTCCATGTGTTACTGGCTCGAACACACTATTGATGGTGGTATGTTGTTTTGTACATGTCTCCTCTGAGGGTTGCTATGGTTATAAACCTGTATCTCCCTCAAAATGACAGCTTAAAGACAGCAACCATTTTCAGCACCTTAGATAGAGTCTTTCCCTTACTGTGTTCCTTCCCTTCCCGTCTTGTGTCCCCTGTGGTGTACAACGAGAATGAGGGCTACACAGGTTTGACAGCAGTGTCTGAGCCTCCATTGTGGTTATTGGCCTCGTCTTCCTCCAAGTCTGCAGAGAAAAACAATCTGTTTAATTGACAAGTAACTATTAGTTGGCTAATGATTATCACCACAATTAAAACTTTATAATTTAATGGTACCTTCTGGCCAGTCTTCTCTCAATTCATCTGTGCGGTTCTTCAGTGCTGTTTATTTTCCCCACTTAAATGTCTTTTGAAAAGAAATTAAGGAATCTAATACTTCGTGCCTCAGGCTTATGATAATTTTTGTCTGTTCTTTTCTTCATTAGAAAAAGAGAATAAAATAAATCAGAGCGGCCTCCAAGCCTTCCCCACTTGGCCTTTCCCACTAAGTTATTGTTCCTTCCTTCCGCAACGTGACTGCTTTTGAACGGAGTGGCTTTCGTTCTTCCCCATTTCCTCCTCTCTTGTGGGCAGCTTAGATTTAGTTTGCCTGCCCTGGGATTCTTCCTTCAAATTCAGATACAATTGCCCTCAAGCTTTCTGTTCCTACACTCTACCATTAACGAGATTAAGAACCCTGAGAAACCTCCCCCTCCCCGTTTCCCAGGTAACATGTGGCACCCCACGTGAGGCTCCCCAAAATTTCCAGTCAGCATCTTAGCAAGGCTTCCCCTAAGAACTGGTGTCAGGACTAGTGCCTGGGGGTCTCGGGGAGCAAGTGCAGGACACCAAGGTGTGCAGAAATGGGTGAGCATCCTGGGGAGGCCAATGGGCAAGTGTCAAACTCTGCTATGTAGTATTCTCCCACCTGGGGTTTACTAAAAACTTGAACAGTCAAGTTTAAGCTGGGAGAATAAATGTCTATTGTTCAAGCCAAGAACCATTGGAAGTGCACCACCGTCATCCTACATAATACAGCTCACAGCAAATGCGACACACAGGACCTGTTTCCACCCTTAGGGGTCCCTGCAAGGCCAGCTTCATAAGCAAGATTGCTAGGACAGGAAATAGGAGCAAAGATGTGGAGGGAGAGCCAGGGGCTGTGGTTGCTGCTTGACAGATTTAAGCCTCCTTCCTTTTTTTCTCTCTGCTAGGCAGCCTTCTCAGAAGGAGATTAATCTGACAAGCTTTTTTTCTTTTCAAGTCACAAGGATAATTGCTTAGAACTTTATTTCCTTCATGGTTTCTGCAAATGGATTTTGCGCTGATTTTTTTCCCCCTTAAGCATTTGACTCTGCTGAGGAGCACATGAAGAAGGCTGTTACTGTCAGCATATGTCACTGGGGACGTAAAAGGGCTCTAAAGGAAGAGAGAAATATCCCCAAAGAGTGAGTGCACAGAAAGCTAAATGGTCCTCTACCATATCACAGAGCTGGCAACTTAAATTCTGGGACTCTGCCACCATGGAGATACTTTATGTTGTTGGATAAATTTCTTTAGCTTTGAAACCTAAACAGAAGACAAGATACTCTGGGTAATGAAACAAAGCCCCTTGAATATGGTCATTAACCTGGAACTTGGTTCTTCTGGGTCAGTTAGACACATGTAAGCAGGCTGCTGCAAACGCCAGCACTAAATAGCAGCTTGCTTCACCCACTGAGACAGTGGGGCTGATCTATTGGGAGCTCACCAAGGCCAGCTGGACTGGGACTGAAAAAGCATGGGATAAAACCGGACTCTCTGAACATGGTGGACCATGAGGGCTGATGAGGAGCCAAGGACAATGGCACTGGGTTTTGATCCTACTTCATGTTCTGGCTTTATGGGAGCCTAGCCTGTTTGGATGCTCACCTTCCTAGACTTGGTTCTAGTAAAAGATGGGCCAGTCGACAGCATTCTATGGTTTCTTCTAAAGTATACATCTCTATACTACCTCTGTAGAGTGACTCTCCTTGGCCAGGTGATTGACCTGCCCAAGTGAATTAATTCTTAAAGGAGTTCATCTATCTAGAGACAGCTTCCATTCTTCTGAGTGATAGATAACAGCTTTCCCCTAATGGCCTCTAATGCTACTGCGGCAGGATGAGCCTTAATTAAACAGGGATTTACCCGGGAAAGTCTGAGTCAAGAATCAAGTGAATGTGGGTTGGATAAAGTTTGGAACTGATCAGTTATAAAGCCCTGTTTCCCTCTTGGACTTCATTAGAGTCTTAACAATAAATCCATTTTATAGAAGAAGAAAAT